AGGAACAGTACAAGCAAACATGACAAACATTCTCCGGCTCCAGATTCACAAATCTGAGGATTTTCACATAATCCTAAATTAAATATTTGAGGGTTTTGGACTTTGTCAAAAAAACAAGTAATTTCAGTGTTTAACCAGTAACTAGCCGGTTAATTTTTAGGTAAAAAAGCACAAAATGAAGTGAAATAAAAGAGGCTTCTCCTTTCAGTTTGGACTCCAATGACTCAGTGAGCTTTAACACGGCATTTCAACGCACTATCCATTTAGAGGTGATGAAATTTGAGTGTTTCGTGATGTAAACATCTTGCTAACAGATGGTTGGCTAGATGCATTACTATGTGGAAACTAGGAGTGGGCATTTTAAGTAACTTAGATATTGGAGTACTCAAATTTAATTATCATAGAATACTTGGGTACTTGTGCAAAAAGTTCTCTGGTGCGGAGCTCGAACTCCTGCAGTAGCAGTCTCAGGATAAGATAAAAAGAAAGAAAGTGACAGCCGGGCAAACCGGCGCTGAGCAATGCAACACACTGCTCGCAGGTCTACAATAAAATAAAATTTTACCCATTTTTATAGTAAAAAAAATATATATAAGAGTCATGTTCACATGTTGTGGCGAGTACTTTAGATGTTGAACAAATACTGATGTCCAAACAAGTACTCATGTCCATCCCTAGAGGAAATATGGTGCCCACTGCTCACCCTCTGGTCTCCAATAGTTCGCTAACATTAGTCTTGGTAGCTCTGCATGGCACACCACCTAGGTCACATGAAGGCTAGCTAGCGGTGCCACTTATTCTGTGATTACTGCTGGTAACGCTGTCTCACCACTGTGACAGTCCTACGTTCTTACCAAGGTAGCACCAGTGAGTATGCAGTTTGATCTTGAGCCTCAACACCTCTTTAGCAATGTTAACTGTGCTAGCTAACAGAGCTAATGATAACAACATAGTCAAAGGGGGTTTGCAGCTCAAAATTAACCCGCCTACTCACCAGGGTGAACAGGCCCCCAAGAACTGTGCTGGGCTTCGAAACCAATGGAATTACAACTCCTGAGTCTGTCACATGATGCCATGAGGCCCAAAAATACTTTTTCCCATTGACTTGCATTGGGAAGGAGACATTTGTAAATCAGTGGATACATTTCTTTCAACATCGCAACCCCTGCAAAATGACTTGTTTCACTTTTAGAATTTTTTTTAGAATTAGCTGGCTCGATTGGTAGACGCTATATCCACGTCCCTTGATACGTCCATGGTAGAGACCGGAGGATGGGCACAATGTTTACACAGCAATTCTGTTGGATAGGGAAGGCATTACTAGCAGTACTCGCCAGATTGACGCCACTTGCTAGCTCCCAACAGACCTGGGTGGTGCACAGCGTTGTAAACTGAAAGGGTAGCAAAATGAACCTATACACAGGCTTGTGCAAATGTCCCAAAAACTTACTGAGGGACTCTTGGAAGCTGTAATGACAATATTCTTTCTATTGTCTGACATTTTGTAGACTAGACTGGTTCTGGTCAGTGGTGACACGTGATGGGAACCTGACATGATCCAGCCTGAGAACAGACTCACTAGAAAGAGCTTTAACCAGGACATTTACCACGGACTTCTCTAGATTAGTGGTCTGGTGGTTGGGTTAGGTTGAGTGTCATGGGTTTCAAACTGGTGTCTAATAAGCATGTGCACACACACACAGTAGAAGAGAGGAAGTACAAGCTGATGATACTGATCATAAAGACAGCAACAAGTCTGACAGAAGGAGAGCTGAAGACAAAGAGAAGGAGGCCGAGAGAATTAACGCAGTCTCTTCTCACAGGGGGGCTGAGACCTAGAACAGTAAGTAAACCTAGCAGAAGCCTGCAGGGCGGCTGTGGTCCCCTGGTACCCCAGTACGCAACATCTACTGGCACACAGCCCGTCTGCTCAGAATGGAAACACTCGGAGGAGCCAGCGCAGAGGCACCGCTACCGACTGGAGGGCAGGAGGAAGCAGGAAACATGACGCTCTGTATTGAGCCACTGCATCAACAACACTGACACTACACAAAAACAGAGCCGCCTCACGGTCACAACCAATAACTCTGCACGGAGAAGTTACCGCAGGTATCTGTATACACGCTACAGAAAAAGATTTATAGGAAACAGACACCACACTGATGTTCAAAAATCCAGGTCTGGGACATTCAGTGCGTCAGAATATGAGCGTTTAAACTCAGGTGCTCTGTGGCTGAGCAAAAAGGAAAATGAAGACAAATACTTAACATTTAAGGGGTTTACTTTAAGCAGCATGCTGTAAAAATGTGGGGAAAGCTGGGTATGTGGGTAGAGATGTGAGGACACGCAGCAGTAATGGAAGAACCCCAGAGAGACCGATAACAGCGTTAACACCTCACCTCCGACCACAAGCAATCAATGCTGTAGATGGAATATCTAGTGGATCAAGGTGCACATTAGTGCCTGCACGGTGAAACATAGCAGCTGCACTGGCATTAATGAAACCACACTGCACTGTGGCTCCACAGCATTTCATCTAATCTGAATCCAACTCATTTGGATTCAACATGTTAAAAATAATGTGGACTGCAAAGCGAGAATGTCACGATGTAGATAACTGTTCACATATTGCAGACAAGATGAACATCAGAAGACATGAAATGTGGATTAAAAGTATCCAAAACATGAGCTGTTCCTGACTTAATTTGCACACTTTATTTTCACAAGTTGCTTGATCTAAATACTGAAGGGAAGGTCTTGGTTCAGAACCAAAAACACAAGCCCCAAAAACTGGCAAGGAGCAAATAGTTAACAGAAAGCAAATTAACCAGACAAAAGCAAGAGCTGGGTCCCATACCAGTACCTTGAATTCGATACAGATGCCTCAACAATACAGAGACCAACTATGTTTCTATAAATGACGACGGCTCATTTCTCTACTAAATGTAAAATACTTTGTGTAAATAATCTGTCTTCTTGACATGATAGTTCATTATGTAAACTGAGGTGTATGAGATGTAAGATAATTGCAAATCCAACATGGAGGCAACATCAAAAGAAAATAATGTGCATGTTATCAAAGCATCAATTTGGACTTAATACGAGATAGAAAACCAGCCATGCACACATCTCTTCAACAATTCATGAACTACTTTATCCTAATGATGTGTTCACAACAAACGTGATGTAAATTTTCATGTCACGTTACCCATACAAGTTTAAACACTAGAAACTTTTGTGTTGACTCGCTCGTGAATTCACTGATTCGGTAAATTAACTTCTGCCGGTCCGTCCTAGGCAGCATGTTGGTCGTTGAAGTTCAGAATTTTCAACTCTCATTAATAAGCATTTGACGCGAAATCATGCTACTCACTTAATTCACGTCCATCACGTTGCCCGGCGGGAATGCGTGTCTACTCGTGTCTTTACATTGACTTTACATGTAATTGACTCACACGGATTGTTTTCTTAGTGCCCAGTGCGAACGCAACATAAGAAAGCCTGAGGCCACATCCACACTACAACGTTGAAACAAAAATAATCTCCGTACACGCAAGCCTTTTAGCAGCATTAAAGAAATAATCTCCGTCCATAACTGAAACAGCACATCACATGATCATTCACGTACAGTGGGCGGATGTAAACAGGAAGCAAATTATCTACTCAGCAGTTAGTTGCTTAGTTACAGAAAATACAGCGGAGATAAAGACCAGCGTCTCTGTTCCTCCCTGGGCGGATCAGACCACAACAGGGTTGGCAGCATTCTCAAGGGTCTCCTTGATCATAAATGCCAGCTTAGCGTGGAGACTAGGCTTGAACTCAACGATAGTTATGTGTTTTACATTCGTGTGCATGTCAGTCAAGTGTCATACAGCCATGCTAGGGATCACACGTTGAAACATTTCTGATGTTGCTTACAGGTGAAGGTGGGTCTCATTGTCTCTGCTTCCAAAGGCAATGGTGAATAAACAGCATGTCCCAAAATATAAGGCTTGACGAACTTCGTGGTGACATAATTTGTTTTTATGATAACCAGCCCTTTTGGCCTTCTGGCAAGCAATTTATGGCATTAATGCAAATTAGCTACAGCTGATATAATCTGCTCTTGGCGGTGTCAGCTAAACATGAGAGGCTACCTGAATGAAATGACTACTGTCATGCTAGCAGCTCTGTGAAGCTGTGCACTAAATGCCAAAATGCCAGAATGTGAACATGCAGCTGTTAACAGGTTAGCATACACCTTGTTTACCATCTTGGTTCAGTGTGCATAGCTAATATTTGCTAATAAGCAAAAAAAACAAAAACAAACAAAAAAAAACAAACAATAGTCCTGCAGGTGTTTGGTCATAACCCAAAGTATTGGACACATTAAAATGTTGACCTGATGATAGCGCTAGATGAAAAAATACTCGCCAAAGCTATAACTGAGAGGAACATAAATGTGTAAACCAAATTTCATGGCAACTCATCTGATAGTTTTTGAGATTTTTCACTCAAAAGCACAAATGTGAACTTCATGCTGGAGTGTCAGAGGATCACCAAAGTTGTTTGGATTCATCCTCTGGGGAACATGAATGTCCGTATAGAAAACTGGTGCCAATCCATCTGATAGATGTTGAGATATTTCACTGGTTAAGTGACATTTATTGTTACATAATATTCAATATCTGGTTAAATAAAGGTGAAGCAAAACTCTGACCAGCTGGAGATGTGGCTATTAACTCTGAGGTGAAGCCAGTGAGCCTTGAGATACTGTATTGTCTCCGTATGAATTGAGAGCACGTCTTCAGCAGCTCACAGGAGTAATGTGCAATGGTTGTGTGAACGTGATATCATTAAAATAAAACAGATTTCAACAATTGTTTATTTAATTGTGTGTGGATGAGCGATCTCCTCCCTCTTTGAGAGGAATGCCACTGAATACTGCTGATCCTATTAGGACGTTTGCAGCAGAGTGTTCTTTAATGTAATTTAAAAAAAAAAAAAATGTTGAGACTCACCAATTTTCTGGTTGAAAATTTTGTCAAATGTCAGTTCGTCTCTCTCCTCGAGGTACTTCTGCATCACACTGCGAATGCTGTGAAGACAAGGAGAAGGGGATTAATATACACCATCATTAATGGACAATAATCTGATCCAGGACATCGTCAGTCCTGTCCTCCTCCACCTCCACCTCTCTTGTGCGATCCTGGCCTCAGTTTGGGACTCTCCCTGCCACCTGTCCCCAAACACAGTCAAACTGCGGGGAGGGAAGAGGGACACATGGGAGGCAGCGGGGGAACCTGGAGAGTTACACGCTACTCTGGGAACGGGTGTTAATGAGAATGAGAGCTGGGAGAATGAATCAATTAGCACCACCTCCACGGGCCCATTAACACCACACCAGCGCCCTGCGTACACCAGGGACAAGTGGCCAGGCTTTACCTACAAACACCTCCGCATGGCACACACTGGGCATGTGCGAGGAGAAGCCCTGGCTCCTTGTGAGGTCATAATTTCTGCAGTGTTTACATTTTGATAGTGTTGGCTCCCATGGCGCGGTTCTGTTGTTTTCTGTTCCAGCAGCAGAAAAACAACACAATCATAAATAACCTTTTGTTTCCAGGATCAAGTCCAAAGAAAGTGTTAAAGACTGCAGAAGCTTTTCCTCAACAAAACGTGCGTGACTGCAGAGAGCGCTCATGCTGATTGGTGTGATTTTTGGATGATTTTCTACTAGCTGACCTTGAGCCATACTGGGGAACACTTCTGCATAGGGCTGCAATGTATAAGGAAATTATGCACCATGAGATAATGTTGTTGAACAGAGGGTTCATACACATTTTAACCGACACATTTTCAAAACCTTTCCATAACGTTTCTGTTATATTTGACACATTTCAGTGACTTTATATACATACTTCCAATAGTTTAGTTTGCCACATCCTGGCATCCTGGGGATTAAAGAAAGAGTGTTTGGGATGAACAGAGATCTTCCCAGGAACACAATAAACTCACTACTGATGCATCGGGGGCGCACCCTATTGTTTCCCAATAACTCAAAAAATCCCAGAGGGCCCAGACCAGGCCCCAGGAACTGTGCCAGGCGCTGAAGCCAGTTTTCATAGTGGCCAAACTGTGGTACTGCAATTTCTGGTCTGCTGTGTGATGTCACTGGGCCCCAAAAGATTTTTTCTCATAGACTTTTATTGGGAAAAAGACATCTATATATCAGCGGATACATCTTTTTGAGCGTCACAATCCCCAACTCATTCCACTATCAAGATTTTATCCATTCAGTCCGCTAACGTTCGGAAAGAGCCACAACATTAAATTATTTTGTCCCCATTTAAGTTAGTGGAAGTCTAAACTTGAAGTCTCTAGTGCACCTGCTCTATGGGCCTAATGATGCAGAAGCAGTGCTGATAATCTCAGAAATTTAATACCGTGGCAATTTTGGCCTCATGCACCACTGAGCAACTTTCATAGGAATGAACGTAGCCCTGCCACCAATGCTGTATACAGGTCTCTTAATACATTCGTGGCCCAGACACACACGACTGACACCATATGTCAAAAGAACAAATTATATTTATGCTGTGTTAGCCAACAATAACACAATCAGTTGCATACTGCTTCTGCGAAAGAGCTCAATGGCTTCAAATATAATTTTACCTCATACAAAAGGTTTGTTTCAATCGCACGCCTGCTTGACTGTGGCCGTTTGTTTACTTTCCTCACTTTGATTTGTCTTCTTGTGCACTGAGCTGAACCGCTAATCAGAGAAAGGTCGTTCACCGACAGTGCCCAGTGTCCCCGGCACCGATTCACCACGCTGAATCGGCCGAAAAAAGCCATCAACAGCTGACTAGTGCCAACGGTGCTCAGCTCAGTGTGTCAGGGCCCTGAGCATAATATCGCAGTCTTTCGCAATGTGTTTATTACACAAGTACACACAGTGTTGACAATAAAAGATTTTGCAACCCTACGAAGTATTAAAAATGCAGGAGGTGATATGAACCCAAAGCGCCTGTATTTTCCCAAATAGCTCTTTAAATATTTACATTTATATATTTATACAAAATGCACATAACTGTGCCATTACCCATGTCGCCATATATGAACTGTTATTGTTGCATGAATAGTTTTCTAGTGGCAGGTGAGCAAAACAACGTGTGACTGTTACTCCACAGCAGTGGAGCTAAATTTACCTTCTTCCTCCTTTGAAAGACAATGACGTTATTGTTGGTTATATATCTTCTTCATTTAATAAAAACATTGACGCACTGCACTATAGCTACACTGCAATGCAACTATAACTTAAAGCTAAAACTGGGACTACTTGCGACCTAAATATCATCACCAGGGACCCCAGCAGACCAGCAGTCCCAGTTTGTTATGTGCAGGCAACTTTTAATGGGAGAGTGGGAATGAGCAGTGGATACAACATTTCAACTGCAGCTACAGGAACAAGAACCTAGGAAGTAAACACTTCCCCTTTCAGAGAAGGCCTGTTTGTGTGCGCCACTGAATCATTAGCAGCTGACTCTGGATTATTTGTATGAAACCACAACACTTTCGACGCAGCATTAAGACAGCTGCTGACATTTACTGTAAAAGACGTGTCATATATTTAGGTTTAAAAACACGTACGGGGGAGAAACGTTTCCGATTCGGCGTGTATGGTTGGTGAGGTTAGTTTAGAGATCAGTGAACCTACAGACAGCCAGACGGCGTGCAGACAGCTGTGGCTCATGAAAACACAGGTGCATAAAAAAATAAATAATACAACACATGGGTTTTTTTTTTTATAATGTCAGCTCAACTGTAAATGTTCTCATTTCAACACTATTCATATCTCGTCAGTATGTCCTGTCCAAGCGTTGAAAAACAACATTTTAAAATCTCAACAGCAACACGTCTTTTAAAAAAACAACATCCCAGTGACTCTCAATAACACACAAAGCTTTATAACAAAGAGAACCTACATCAACATTAGCTTACGGGAGCAGACGACCGCAGCAGAGCAGGAAACAAAGAGGCTCCTGCTGTGACAATGACTGACACTATGACCGCTGGCAACACTGTGGTAAATAAGGCAGTACTATCTACAGAGGGACTGCCACGATGATGGTGGAAATATATCAGTGAAGGGCTCTTGTAAGTGTATGCGTGACGCACAGATGTTAGTATTCATTTGCAATTTAGAGAATTAGTAAAAGATGAAACAATAAAATCAAAGTGCACAGAGTAATGGCCGATTAAATATGCTCATGTGTCATCATTCAATCTTCACTCAGCCTCTTTTATACTGCCTGTTCAAACTGGGAACGCTGTGTTGTTATTCTGCCTCGCTTTGAGGCATAAAAGGCATGACTGTGGAATGGGGGACAGAGATATCTCGCCTCAAACTGGCAGCGGACAAAGTGTCAGGGCGGAATTGACGTCTGTGAAAATGGGTTAGCCACGCATGTGACGTTTGATGACGTGTTATGTGTGCAACCCACTGCCGGGAGACTTAAAAAGCAGCTAGCAGCAGTTAGCAGCTAACTCAAAGATGAGAAAGCAACTGAAAATGTCCCCTCCAAGCACAGGGCGAGATCAGCCGCCATATATTGGGGACAGTACATGACTCTTAATGCCATTTGTGCAACTGTTATTGTTTAGAAAGTGCTGCACAAGGTCAACGCTGTTGTGTTAAAGGGGTATTTCACCGATGGAAAGATGGCCTTTTAATAAAACTAAGATGTCTATGCAGTAGGAAGACACAAATACTTGTATAGTATCGTAACATACTGTATCATGTCCTCAGTGGAGACATGGGTGGCAGGCAATATGAAAATGCACAGCCTGTGGTTCCCGCAGCAGCCAGAGAGCCAGCGATAGTTTCTTCGGCAGGCGAGGAGGGATATCGAGACACTAGTTAGGTGGAGGAGGTTTACCACGGTTCATTTACACATACTACCCACATTGTTTTGACACAAAGCTGGTTGAAAATCGGCAAAGTACCACTTTTAAACGTCATGCCCGCCACGCCTCTTTTGCGTCCTCAATGTCGGCATGCTGTGTAAAATCACACACTGAAGTGGCACGATAACGCCTTTGTTTGGTTCCGTGTAAAAATACAGAGGCGGTGTAAAGACAGGACTTTTTAGCGGCAATATAGCATGATCTCTGCGTAAAAGGGGCTTCAGATGCAGAGGCACTATTACAAATAAACTATCGTGTGGGTGTGTGGTTTTAAAGGAGCAGAAAACAAAAGATATCAGCGTTACCTCAACCTTAAGTGGAACTAACAACTCTCTACAATCACAGGAAAAAACGGTGCTCAACTGATATTAAAAACTACAAAGTAAAACGGGAATGCTTCTTGATAGGCTACTCATATCGGGTAGATAAAGGCTCCCACAAGATACCAACTTGCTGGAAAATATGCTGCATAAACATCTCGTAAACTTAGACATTAAGTAAAAAATTGGCAGGAGAAACTACTTATCTTTATTATTCACAAATAAAACTTACACGGGGACATGGATGCACATTAGCTGAGGGAATCAATTGAAGGTTTACTCATTAGAAAACTACTGTTTACCATTCTACAAGCAAAAGCCCACTGTCCATACTTCCTTATGTTCTTTGAGCTTAAGCACACTCTGATATGGGCAACATCCCCTAACTAGATATAAAAATAGAAATAAACTCTGGGCACTGTGCAGAGCTCCATTTCATTGTTCCTGACCGCCACAGATGGTGTAAATCCAGGTGTTACATACCATCAATTCATAGAACAGTGGTTACAAACCTGACTCTCATTTAAAGTGATAATTTGAAAAGAGACTGAGAGCGCTCAGTGAGAGTGAAACACGAGCCGTAACGTAAGACGACAGCTGTATCAACTTAAAAACTGATGGGCAACTAAAAAAACACGGCTGAACTTTAGTCCTGTGTGGACAGGAGGTAAACATGAGGACACCAGAGCAACATAGTGGCAAATTTGTGAGTCAGGTGGGAGTGTCAGTGAGGTCAGGAGACAGAAAGGCATGCTGAAGTGTCCTTGAGCAAGACGCGAGGAGTTCTGTGCTTGTGACCCGACACGAG